ATGTGTTGTGAGGTTGTTAACCATTGTCATAGGGCAACATGTGTACTAACTGTTAAATGAGAACCTATTTTGTTCTGTAAGCCTTCATCTAAAGTGTGAATAGCAGCACAACTGGAAGAGTGTAGTCGATGTCACTGAACTGTGCATGTAGAAATTTTTGAAATGGTGTATCTTTGGCTATGTATATTTTCACACAAAAAAAGGGTCAAGAACGGAGAGGGTTGACATGTTGTGGGGTTGTTAACCAATGTCATAGAACAATATGTGTACCACTGTTTCATGAGAAACTATTTGTTCTGTAAGCCTTCACCTGAAGTACAATAAAAAATTTTTAAAACAAAAGGAAATGAACTACTTTTTTAAAAAATGGAGTTGTTTGAATTTTGAAATTTCATCAGAATTTTTTGATTAGCATCCAGAAATCTATAGGAGGAGAGACTTAGACTCATGCTCTTTGGCTCCTGTTAGAGACAAAAGCCTGGCAGACTGCCTACATAAAGATTACAGCCAAGGAAACCCTATGGAGAAGTTCTACTGTGCAACACATGGGGTTGCCATGAGTCAGGGAGCGACTTGACAGCAGCTAACAACAACAACAGAGGCTGGACTTGTGTGAAAATTCAACCTGCAGGGAAATTTATTCTAGTTAATTTCCCTAGAAGATCTCTACACCCAACCTACTTTGCCTTCTAACTCTTCTTGTTTCCCTCTCACAGTCAGGGGACTGGGCCCTGCCTGTTTGGTTGTGATTGAGCATTCAGTCATATCTGCAATACTAAATCTGAAATTGTCTTCTTCAATCTCTCTCTAGGAAGTGTGTTTTCAACTGAACACCTCAAGCTTCAACTCCAAAAGGAATCCCTAAATGAGTTAAGGAAAGAGTGTACTGCACAAAGGTAAGTACAACACTGAGAATAATTTCTATGAGTATTGAGTTTACTATAGGGATAAGATTTAGCATTCTTTCAAAGCTACTGGTATTAATTTATATTCCACACACCTCAGTGTCACATTTATTCAACAAATATTTATTAAGTACCTGCTATGTGCTGTGCAGAGTCCCTGGGTGGTGCAAATGATTAACGTACGAGGCTGCTACCCAGTAAGTTGGAGGTTCAAGTTACCCGGAGGCTCCTCAGAAGAAAGGCCAAGTGATGTACTGAAAAATCAGTCATTGAAAACCCTATGGATCCAGCGTAGTTTTACTTTGACACACCTGGGGTCTCCATGAGTCGGAATTGACTAGATGGTAACTAGTTTTTACATACTGTGCACTGTGCTAGAGGCCAGTTAAGAGAGCTCCTAGTACATGGTCATAGTCAGAAACACGAACCTGTTCTTCTAGTTTCCTAGGCCTGAGCACCATGGCTTAATCTTCTCTTCTTCCTGTCTTCTACATGTAGATTAGCTTATAGTTTTTCTTCAGATTTATTCCTCCTTCTCCTTAGCTGATTTGGATTGCCTCAGAGCTTCCTAGATTAACATCAGTTTCTCCATCTTTCTACTTCATCTTCCATATTGGTATCAGACCTCTCCACTTAAAATACCATTTTTATCATATCATTTGTCTGCTTAAATGGTGATTCTTTTGCTTAACTTTCAAATACTCTTCAATAAATTAGCACTCTATAACTATAGCTTAATTTCCTTCTCTCCCCGAGCATCCATTTAACAAATGCTAATACTTTTTCTCATTTTTTATAGCACCTACTTGATTTATTGTCACTTCTGTGCTTTTGCTAATTTTTACTTACTTTTCCTGGAAAGTTCCCCCATCCTGCATTTTTCTTCAAGAAACTTTAGCAATTGAGTATTTAAGAATGTTTGACCTGGAAAGAATTACAGAGGTCATCTCATCTAATCTTCTCATTTTGCAGATAGGAAAGCAAGGTTCTGGGAGATTACTACTTGTCAAGTTCATTAGCAAAGCCAGGAATAGATTCCATTTAAGTTTTCGGTGCTCTTTTCATTATACTACAACTTTCCCATTCCGGATTGACTTACAGCTTCTCCTGAATTCTGTTGTGTTTTTTTCTTTTTCCTGTTAAATTGTTAACACAGTTGAGAAGGTAATTTGTTTTATGGGTGTTTTATCTGTTAGTCATGTTTCTTAAATGATTCAAGAATGGAGCTGGGTCATTTCATTCCACAGTTTTTTGTTATTTGTTCTTTTTACTCTACTTTTTTTTCTTTTAACATGACAGCAGGGTATCTTTTCGAGATAATAGTGAGTGAAAGATAGAATACTGTTTTGAGGAAATACCATATGAATCTTTCCTGAAATCAAATTGGCCTCAAATTAAATAGTGGCTATGAGATCTTGGTCAGCTTACTCAACCTCTCTAAATCTCGCTATCTTATTTGTAAAATGGTCTAATAACACCAACCTAATAGAATTATTGTAACAGTTAAAACATTTGTAAAGCACCTGGTATGTAGTAGACACTCAGTCAATGATTATTTGTACCTTCTATGTCTCTTAGCATGGCCCTGGGCACATACAGTGACCCTTAGCATATAGTTAGCTTGATTGATAGCATTTGGAGATAGGTCAGGATTCATGATAGCTATTATTCTTGCCTCTACTTTTGAGTTTCTGTGGCCTGTTATAGACCATCTATTCTTCTTATGTATCTGTTATGTGGACATGAATGTTAGAAAATTAATGTTAGGAAGCATGCAAGATTTTTTTTTTAAATAATTGTACTTTCCTCTTTCCTTATCAGAGAACTTTTTTTGAAGACTAATGCTCAGATGACAATTCGATGCAAGCAATTACTATCTGAGCTTTCCTACATTTACCCTATTGATTTGGTAAGTTTTAAATTTTCTGAAAAGACATTTCATTTTCAGAAGATGATTCCAGTTTGAAATTTCCTCCTAATGAACAAACCCACTGCTTTAGTCTTAATCAGATGCTGTGTCACAATTCATTCAGAAGCTAATATCTATTTAATAATGGTTTTAGTTGGCCTTAGTTTCCAGTTTCTTTTTTATAAAATAAAAAAAAAAAAAAAAACCAGTTTGGTGGTGGTATGCACTCATCTTCATCTAAAATAATGCCCAATTATTTATGGTTTCCTTAGGCTGTTTTCAGTCCACCAAATTATCCACTAACCACCATTTCTGTTACTTACAGACAGACACATGCAATTATATGTGCACTGCTTTTAAAATAGAAGTTAATTAACTTATATTTAATAGTGCTACTTAAGATATGCCTGGGGTCACTGTCAGGATGTTAAGCTTTCAAACCTAGATTCTTAGAAAATGCAAAAAGTAAAACTTCAGTAAAACTGATTAGGATTCTTTTTTTTTTTTTTCCAAGAGAACCAAATCTACTAAGTTTGATTGTTATCCTTGCTTTCTCTTTACTAAAAATAGACTTAAAAGACTGATTTTCAGAGAGGAAAACTAATACGATTTGAAGTTGCTCAGAGAATCTTGTTAAATCCACTTTGAATTTTTCATTTATAGATACTAATTGGTCAAAAGACATTCTAGTGATAAAAGTTTTACATATTTTTATGCTTTAACATGACATTTTAAATGTTTTTGTTATTGAAAATTTCAAGTACATACAAACAGAGAGGATAGTATAATGAATCACCATGTACTTATCACTCAGCTTCAACAATTATGATTATATTTTGAGTCCAGGAAAGTAATGTCTGAGCCAACACTGAACTACTGAATTTTTTGAGATTTAACTTAGAATTTCTTTGAGAGATGTTTGTGTGTGTGTGTGTGTGTCTGTATATATGTCTGTATGTATATTTGTGAAGGAGTCCTGGTGGTGCAGTGGTTAAAGCACTTGGCTGTTAACCAGAAGGTCGGTGGATCAAACCCACCAGCTGCTGTGCAGGAAAAAGATGTGGCAGTCTGCTTCTGTAAAGATCACAGCCTTGGAAACCCTATGGGGCAGTTCTACTCTGTCCTGTAGGGTCACTGTAAGTCGAAATGGACTCAACAGCAATGGATTTATGTATGTATGTTATGTATGTATAAATTAATTTCATTCTTTGGTTAAATTCACAGAATGAACATAAAGATTACTTTGTATGTGGTGTCAAGTTGCCCAATTCTGAGGACTTCCAAGGTATTTTATTTATTTTTTCTTCTAAAGAGTTGGTGTATAGAATATGTGGATATGTTGTTATAGGGGAGAAAGGAGCTATCTTGAAATGTTGGTTGCCCAGCACTTTGTCCAGAAGGCTTTTGGAGCTTCTGTCCTTCCCCAATTTTAAGTATATGGAGTCAGATTTCCTAGTGGAAGACGTACAGAATATTTGATCTAAACATGGTAGAAAAATATTGAATCTTATGTTTAAAATTGGAGAGAAAATATTTTTTAAATGGACTTTAAGAAAATCACACAGCAGGGTTCTTAGGAGTACTAATAGTCTCTTTTTTTGTTTGACTTTCATGAAAAATTCTATGTGTGGTTGGGGCAAAAGAGCAACAAACACTAATCTGCTCTATTGTTATTTGGACGATCATGTTCCTTTTGGCCTGAAAATTTATTTTTATGACATTCCCACTATTACAGGTTAAACTTGTGCAGTCATTTCTCTCCTATTTTAATTTTTTAAATTTACATTAAAGATATAGAATATGATTCATAGTAATTCCTATTTTTTAAAATATGTTCTTTTTCCTAATCTCTTTACAAATAAATAGTTTTGTTTGGCATATTTGTAAAAAGATTATTTTTCTTAGCAAAGTAAATTCTTTAAACTCCTGGCCTAAACAGTGTTTGAGGTCTACTAGATATCTTATAGATTATTCCCAAAGCTAGCATATTACGTATGTGAGAAGAAATTATTCAAGAAGAAAGTAATCAGAACTTTCTTCATTTTCCTATAAAGAAACTTTTTTTTTTGTGGTCCTTTAACATGTAGGGGCATGAGTCAGAATCAACAACAGCTAACAACAACAGCAACATTTAAGACTATTTTACTTTATAATCCACGCTGGCCCTTACAACAACCCTTATAACAAGTAGTTGGAACATTTTGGTGCCCCAAGTACTCATGAAGGAATTGAGGCAGTATGATACAGGGGGAGAGTGATGAGCCAGGAGAGGGAAAGCCTGTGTTCAAGCCCTGATTACCCTTCTATAAACCATGTGATTTGGAGCAAGTCATGTAAGCTTTGAGTTGATTGCTTAATCTATAGTATGAACATTTATTTCCTACCTGCCTCACCTGGGTGTTGTGAAGATTAATTGAGATAGAACATTATCTGGAAAAGCAGTCTATTTTGACGGTTAGACAAATTATAGAGAATGTAAGTGACATCTCCAAGGCCCACATTGTAGCCAGTTGTTGTTGTTTTTAGGTTCTGACTCATAGTGACCTTATGTACAACAGAATGAAACACGCCCAGTCCTGTACCATCTTCACAATCCTTGCTCTGTTTGAGCCCATCATTGCAACCACTGTCAATCCATCTCATTGAGACTCTTCCTCTTTTTCACCGACCCTGTACTTTACCAAGCATGATGTCATTCTCCAGGGACTAATCTCTCCTAATAATACACTCAGAGTACGTGAAAGGAAGTCTTGCCATCCTCGCTTCTAAGGAGCATTCTGGCTGTACTTCTTTCAAGACAGATTTGTTCATTCTTCTGGCAGTCCATGGTACATTCAGTATTCTTTGTCAACACCATAATTCAAATGCATCAGTTCTTCTTCAGTCTTCCTTATTCGTGTCTAGCTTTCACATGCATATGAGGCGATTGGGTCAGGCGCACCTCAATCCTCAGAGTGACATCTTTGCTTTTGAACGCTTTAAACAGGTTTTTTGCAGCAGATTTTCCCAGTGCAATATGTCGTTTAATTTCTTGACTGCTGCTTCCATGGGTGTTGATTGTGGAGCCAAGGAAAATGAAATCCTTGACAACTTCAATTTTTCTCCATTTGTCATGATGTTGCTTATTGGGCCAATTGTAAGGATGTTTGTTTTCTTTATATGGAGGTGTAATTCATACTGAAGGCTACAGTCTTTGATCTTCTTCAGTAAGTGCTTCAAGTCCTCTTCACTTTCAGCAAGCAAGGTTCTGTCATCTGCGCATCACAGGTTGTTAATGAGTCTTCCTCCAATTCTTCCTCTAATCCTGATGCCCCGTTCTTCTTCATATTGTCCAGCTTCTTGTATTATTTACTTAGCATACAGATTGAATAAGTATGGTGAAAGGATACAGCCCTGATCCACCCCTTTTCTGATTTTAAACTGTGCAGTATCCCCTTATTCTATGTGAACAACTGCCTTTTGATCTATGTATGGATTCCTCATGAGCATAATGAAATGTTCTGGAATTCCCGTTCTTTGCAATGTTATCCATAATTTGTTATGATCCACACAGTCAAATGCCTTTGCATAGTCAGTAAAACACAGGTAAACCTCTTCTGGTATTCTCTGCTTTCAGCCAAGATCTACCTGACATCAGCAATGATATCCCTCGTTCCATGTCCTCTTCTAAATCCAGCTTGAATTTCTGGTAGTTCCCTGTCTATGTACTGCTGCAACCACTTTTGAATGATCTTCGGCAAAATTTTACTTGCATGTGATATTAATGATATTGTTTGATAATTTCCGCATTCTGTTGGATCACCTTTCTTTGGAGTGGGCACAAATATGGATCTCTTCTAGTCGGTTGGCTAGGTAGCCATCTTCCCAGTTTCTTGGCGTAGATGAGTGAACACTTCCAGCGTTGCATCCATTTGTTGAAACATCGCAATTGGTATTCCATCAATTTCTGGGGCCTTGTTTTTTGCTAATGCCTTCAGTGCAGCTGGGACTTCAATACCATAGTTTCCTGATCATATGCTACCTCCTGAAATGGATGAACATTAACTAGTTCTTTTTGGTACAGTGACTCTGTGTATTCCTTCAATCCTCTTTTGATGCTTCTTGCATCGTTCAATATTTTGCCCATAGAATCCTTCAATATTGCAACTTGAGACTTGAATTTTTTCTTCAGTTCTTTCAGCTTGAGAAATGCTGAGCGTGTTCTTCCCTTTTGGTTTTCTAACTCCACGTCTTTGCATATTTCATAATACTTTACTTTGTCTTCTCGAGCCGCCCTTTGAAATCTTCTGTGCAGCTCTTTTACCTTTCATTTCTTCCCTTCACGTTAGCTACTTTGCATTCAAGAGCAAGTTTCAGAGTCTCTTGTGACATCCATTGTGGTCTTTTCTTTCTGGTCTTTCTATTGCCCTTTTGCTTTCTTCATGTATGATGTCCTTGATGTCATCCCACAACTGTCTGGTCTTCAGTCATTAGTGTTCAATGTGTCAAATCTAATCTTGAGATGGTCTCTAAATTCCCGTGGGATATACTCAAGGTCGTACTTTGGCTCTCATTGACTTGTTTTAATTTTCTTTAGCTTCAGCTTAAACTTACATATGAGCAATTGATGATCTGTTCTGCATTCGGCCCCTAGTCTTGTTCTGACTGATAACACTGAGCTTCTCCACCATCTCTTTCCACAAATGTAGTCGATCTGATTCCTCTGTATTCCATCTGGTGAGGTCCATGTATATAGTCATAGTTTATTTGTTGAAAAAAGGTGTTTCAAATGAATAGGTTGTTGGTCTTGTAAAATTCTCTCACATGATCTCCAGTCTATCACCAAGGCTATATTTTTCAGCTACCAATCCTGTTCCCAGCTTGCACCTTCCAATTACCAGTAATTATCAATTCATCTTGATTGCATGTTTGATCAGTTTCAGACTGCACAAAGTGGTAAATATCTTCAGTTTCTTCATGTTTGGCCTTCGTGGTTGGTGCATAAATTTGAATGATAGTCCTATTAACTGGTCTTCCTTGTAGGCGTATGGGTATTATCCTGTCACTGACAATGTTGTACTTTAGGATAGATTTTGAGGTGTTCTTTTTGATGATGAATGTGACACTATTCCTCGTTAGTTTGTCATTGCCGTCATAGTAGACCATATGATTGTCTGATTCAGCATGGCCAATATCAGTCCATTTCAGCTCACTAATGCCTACGATATCAATCTTTATGCATTCCATTTCATTTTTGATGACTTCCAGTTTTCCTAGATTCATATTTAGTACATTCCATGTTCCGATTATTAATGGACGTTTGCAGCTGTTTCTTCTCATTTTGAGCCATGCTGTATCAGCAATTGAAGGTCCCAAAAGGTTTACTCCATTTACATCATTAAAGTCGACTCTACTTTGAGGAGGCAGCTCTTTCCCAGTTGTATTTTGAGTGCCTTTCAATCTGAGGAGCTTATCTTCACCACTATATCAGACAGTGTTCCACTGCTATTCATAAGGTTTTCACTGGCCAATTTTATTTTATTTTATTTTTTTTTGAAGTAGATCATCAGGTCCTTCTTCCTAGCCTGTCTTAGTCTGGAAGCTCTGCTGAAACCTGTCCACCATGGATGACCCTGCTGGTATTTGAATACCAGTGGCATAGCTTCCAGCATCACAGCAACATGCAAGCCAACCCAGTATGACACACTGACAGATGAGTGGTGGTTGTAGCTAGTAGAGCCTTAGAACTGATGTTGCCTCACCTCCCCTTCCATGTTTTGCCATCACATCTTGTCTTCCATTTGTTTTGTAGACCCAGTACCAAACCAAACTAAACCTGTTGCCGTCGAGTCGTTTCTGACTCCTAGCAACCCTATAGGACAGAGTAGAATTGCCCCGTAGGGTTTCCAAGGAGCAGCTGGTAGATTTGAACTGCCGACCTTTTGGTTAGCAGCCTGGGCTCTTAAACACTGTGCCACCACGGCTGTAATGTAGACCAAATAGTTACCATTTATTATGGTTGTGCATTTTACTGGACCCTAAGAGTACTTTATATGCCTTAACTCTAATCCTCACGAAAACAAAGGAAACCAATAAGGAAGGTGGTATAATCCTCATTTTTCAATGTGTAAATTGAGAGAGAAAGCTATTCAGTGACTTTTTTGAGGCTACAAAGCTGGATAATGATCTAGTTGTCTGATTTTCATTGCACAATGCTTTGTTCAGCTTTGTGAAGCTTAAAATGTGTATTGATACTAATTTTAGGCAATATTGTGGTGTCTTGAAGCCCATGACTCATCTTCTTCC